GTGCTTCAGCAGGGTTCAGTTTCTGTGGAGATACTTGGCAGTTGCCAAGGCATGTTACACCTCGACTTTACTGTGACAGGCTACACAGTTGTTAAATCACCAACTGCCTGGAAGCTTCAGCTGCACTGCCAGAGAAAAATAAGATTAGTTTGGAAATTCAGTAGAGAAACAAGTGACTAGAAAAATATACAAAATAAACAGGCTTCAAAACAGAGAGCCAGGGCAGGAGGCGTATCTGGCAAAGGGTCAGTCACAACAAGAGCATGCAAACCTCATCTGAACTTTAACCACGATGTTCTTGTACTGGTGAAGATGGAAGCTACTGATCTGTCCATTTCCAGGTCCCAAAGAGATCAGGGAGTTAAACCATGAATTCACAATCTGCACACATCTCTTCTCCTCAGTTCTCTTCTTTTTTGGATTCTTCCTTGGGTGCTTCAGGAACCAGGATGACCTTTCCAATATTCTTCTTCTCTTGCATCTGCCTCATGGCATCTGCCACCTGGAAGTAACAGGAATCTCGTGAGACCACACGCCCCATGCAGCGCAGCCACTCGGTCCACCCAGACTCATCTGAGGGCCACCCAGGAGGCAGCTTCGCTGACAGTCCAAGCAAGTGCCAAACATTCAGGTGCCTCTGCACAGAGGCATTTTGGACAGAGGCGGGCAGCTGCCCCAGCCTGCCCCTAGGAAACTGTCCTCAAGGACTCACAAGACCAGCCGTAACGTAGCAGGATGCCCTGCTGTGCCAACTGTGGAAGCGACATGCGTGTCACCACAGCTTCCTTTCCAAACAGAGGGGAGCACTGCAGAAACCCAGCCAACAGGCAGAAGGACAACACTTCTACCATCTACACAACCATAGAACAATACACGCACAGATTCTTATTACTGCTACTATTTTTAAGCAAAACAGTGAGCATAGCAGAGCTGCTGAAAACCCTGCCGCTCCCCTCCAACGTCCTCATTCTGCTTCACTGCCTGGGCTCTTCTTCACTCATGGAAGGGCAGCAGCAATGTTCCCAGCTGTCTGCTTAATTACAGGGTGCAGACTCGGGGCAGTCTCCAGTCTGATGCATAATCCAGCCCCTCCATGGGCTGCTGCTGCCCACGGAGCACAGCCGAGCACCTGCCCTATTCCGCAGGGACTGTCTGGCATTGCCCAGCTCTGTGCACTGGAGCAGAAGAGCCCGGCCACTTTACTCACCCTTAATATCTTAGGGGAAAAAGACACTGAATGTCTGAGAATAGATGGTTACTAAACATTTGCAACAGTTCAGCCCCCATGAACAAGGTACTCGCACTGAACCAGAGCTCACTGTCCAGAAAACAATCGCCTGGCAATTTCTGGGTGCTGCCAGCCTGTATGTTAGCTGAGACTCACCTGATCAAAGGGCCATACAGAGTCTATTTTCGGCTTGATTTTGCCTTGACTGTACAGGTTAACCAGCTTGCCTACAACACCTCCAATAAGCTCAAATTCTTCATCCATGTATCCAAGGTGGTAGCCACACACAGCCTTGTTATGGTGTAGGAGTTGCAAGGCATTGATGCTGAACTGGTTCCACCAGGTTTTAGCCATAGCCATGAGGTTCTTCTTCTGCCCAGTAAGCAGGTTTGCTACCCCTAAAAAGAAGGCAAGCCACAGATGAGCTTGAATCAACATAACACAAGAGACAGCGGGCATCCCATGTAACAGCTCAGACGGCACGCAGGGTAACAGCCGCTCACAGAGTGATGGAGGACAGAGGCAAGAACTGGATCACTTCAGGATCTGCCCTGTTGACCTTCAATGGAAACAGGTACCTGCCTCAGTCTCAAGATACACAGAATTTGAGTTATTGGCACCCACAGACTGCAAAGATACAGAACAACAACTCTCTTAGGAGGGCAGCAGCAGCACAGCCAGACTGGAGTGCTGGCAGAGGCAAGAGAAGGTTACAGTCACACCCAGCCAGCCTGGCAGGACAGCACTCCCCTTCCCCAACAGCCAGGCTTCTTCAGGGGAGCCACACACTGCAGTAGCTGGGACAGCAGAAGCAGCACACTGCTGCAAGTGTCTGGAATCCCACTGGGGGTTGTGTGAGGGCTTTGTCTAAGGGACAAATATCACAGTGTTTCAGGGCTGGGGAATGGAGAGTAAGTATTCGGTAGCCTCAAACCTCATCACCCACACATCCTCTAGAAGAAAAGCAAGGCTCTATTAGTGCTGTGCATTAAGTCAGCCTAGACAAAGCAGCTGGGCCAGTGTTCCTCCATGAGGACATTCCAGCTTCCCCTGCAGGCACCAGCTCATACTCAAAGAGAAATCTCACCATGGGAAGGAAGAACCTTGGAGCCAGTGACCAGAGCTCTCGGGACAAGGCACAAATCTCACTCCCCTCAGTGCCTCACCCAGGCAAAGCATCCTAAAGACCTTCGTGAAGTCACAGAGCTACAACACACACAGTAATCAGCAACAGCGATGCTCCCTCATGGCTGCGTGTCCAGGCACGGAGCAGTGAAAACATTCCCGTTTGGCAGATCTATGCCCACCCTGCCATCACACGGTCCCTCCTACGCAGGAGCTGGGGTCTGCACGCTGCTCACACTTACCATAAGTGATCAGTTTGCCCATCGGCTTCAACAGGTTAAATGCTTTGGAAGTATCTGATCCTCCCAGGGGGTCCAAGACAATGTCAACACCTAGAGGGAATTGAAAGTCACTAAACTCCTTTGCACTTAAAAGAAATGCAGGGCAGCTGTAGAAGTCCTCCACCAAACAGTACCTTTGGGAGAGATTTTCCGGACCTCCTCTGCATAGTCCATCGTTCTGTAGTCAATGGGGTGAGCGACTCCGCTCTCCTTGAGCGAATCGTGCTTGGAAGCGGATGCTGTGCCAAAAATGGTGACATTTTCTACAGTCCTGCACAGCTGGATGGCAGCAGTTCCCACACCACCTGAAAACCAGCAGTGAGAAAGGCAAACAGCCCAGCAGTCAGAGAAAAGCCTCTGGATAGGTAAATTACCCCTGCTTGCACCACCTGCACAGCGCAGGCGGGTACGGAATAAAGGCTTTGCCTCAGGCAGGCTGATGCCTGCGACAGACAGGGGGAGACTGACCCCAGCTGCTGAGAAATGGGTTCAGCGTTTGCCAGTGCCTGGGTCAGCGTGAAGCCTGCATCTCTGACAGTGGCTCTTTTGTCAGTCCAGCCCTGTTCTGATCACTTCCTCACCTGTGCCACCCATTCAGAAGCTGCATGTTGAAGCCAACAGTCTCAGCACGTGCTGGCAAGAACTACTTACCTGCAGCCATGTGGATAAGGACACTCTGGTTGGGTCTTAGGTTTCCAAAGTCAAACAGGATCATGTAGGCAGTGATGTAGTTGACAAGAAGAGCAGCTGCTTCTTCGAAGCTCATCCCCTCAGGCATCAGGAAAGTGTGACTGGCTGGCACGTTCACAACTTCTTGCCAGAGCCCTGACCTAGCCAGGACCATTACCTTATCGCCAACCTAGAACCAGAGGACAGGGCAGACTGAAAGAAGCCTCAGGCTAGCAGAAGTCATCACACCCTCGCCCCCCTACCAGAGCCAAGTACTTGTGCACTGTGCAGAGGTCTGCAGCACCCCCAGGCTCGGGCGGGAGCCTGCAGCCTGGGCTCCGCTGCTGGACAAACCACCATGGCGCCTCTCGCCACGGACCTGGGCACACGCCAGGAGCCTGAGAGGGAGCGCAGGCACCCCGGGCTCTGGCTTGCACCCAGCGTGCTGCCTGACTGCAGCTGCCCAAACCAATGGACCTCCGGTGAGGTAAGAGGGATGCCCTCCCTGTCCAAGCTGGGAGCAGGACTCTGAACACCGTGGAAATATTTCTGCTGTCCCTTGTCAGGATCATTCTGCCAACAGGCAGGAGGCGTCAGGCAATGCTCAACAGGGTCAACCCTGGAAAAAACATGTCCAACCTCAGAAAAACCTCCCAGGTCTAAGCCTCAGGCCTGAAGTCTGAGACATCCCCCAAAATCTGCTCTTATCCCACTGGGCAAGAAACATCTGCTCGCTGTGCAACGGGAATGAGACGGTGAAACACTGAGCAGTCGTATCGGCAAGCAGACAAGAGGCAGAGCCAAGGCAGGGAGCAGAAAGGCTCCTCGGTGCGTGGGTTTGGCATTTACACTTGAATAAATCAAGATGTTTTCCTAGAGGACAAGGAATCATCATTGACACACCGAGGTTTTTTGAGACACTTCGTTTTGCTACTTGTGCATCTGAGAATCACTTTAAAGCACCACAATCCCTACAGCCCTAAGACCCAAAGGCCTGGGACACACAGAGCCCCCTCCTCTGCCCTCCGAGCTGACAGAAACACAGCGGCCACAAACCCAGCACCCAGAGCGACCGACCCCCTGGTGCCCACCCTCGCCCCGGGGGCTCTGGATAACCCCGCGGCGGCCGGAGCCGCTTCCTTCCACGGTCGTGTCCTTCAAAATGAGGATCCCAAATGCGCCAGAAACAGCACGGTCATGCCTCAGCCCCACACCCCACCAGCGCTCGCCAGCAGCAAGAAAATTCTGTACGCGCAGACACGCCCGGCGGTCCCCGCGGAACCGACCGCCTCCAGCTGCACCC